CCCACCTCAGGCGGCCGACAGCTAGGCGGTGGCCTGTTGCTGGCGGTGGGGGGAGACAGTGAGGTCAACCCTCGGACGCCGGAGTCGGTCCAGTGTGTCTTGTTGAGTGTATTAACTGTCTTCGGGCTGAGCATCAGATTCATTGGCCATTATGGCGCTCCCTGTCGGGAGCCTACCTAGCCAGACGTGCTGTTGGTACGCGTGTTAAGTGTTGGTCGTGCCAGCCGTCTGCGCCCTCCCCCATCTCCTGCCTCCTTGACTCCGACTTGACAACTAGATCCCGGTGTGGGAGTCGTCAGAGAGTTAAGTAGATTCTTCGCGAGTTTGCTTTGTTGTTTACCTTGCGGAAGTCACCGCGTTGCCTCAACTCTTCTGAGCCGTGGTAAATATCGTCGAAATCGACAGTCGAACTGTCGTGTGTTTGTGTGTTATAGCAGGGTTGTAAATTGTGCCCTTCAAGCAATGGTTTTAGTTACTTTGTTTATTTCCTAAAAAAATATATAACCTGAGCCAAACGAATGTGCTTTCGAATCCCAGCATCATGTAAATGACGTAAGTATGCAAAATCCCGAACCATCTGTCACATTCAGCTCTGCTGAACAGCACTTCTTAGGTGCCAAACGCGAGCTAGAGTGAGGGATCACTTATAGCAGTGAGGATGCCATGGACATTCTTCATCTAAGCGAGCAAATCTCAGACTAAATTCTTCTCATGAAATCCCACAGTCGTGAAATCCCATGCACCAGGGTGGGTTAGGAATGGATAGTCATCAAAGACCAGCTAGAAACACCCTTTCCAATCTCAGGAAGGCAGGCAGTTTTATCACTGCCAAAACCCAAATTATCACAGCAAGGTTTATGACCTGTCACAGGTCGTAACTCCGGCAGTATCAAGTTAGTTTTCTTTTTTCCTGATTAAGTGAAATTCCGTGGATAGGAAAATGTGCTTAAGGTACATTCTATCTGTATTTCAATATTTTTTTAAACTCCTGTTGGAAGAGTTTTCGCCGGTGAGATTTTTAATTGATGTTTTTTTTTTCAGTCTAATGTGATGTAACGCTAGAAATTTTTTAAAATGATAGGCAGCACTCTGTCATCGCTGCACTTTTTGTGCAATTTAGGTTTTCCCCTACGGATCTCAGGATTGGGATGGTTTTCCTTGTTTTGCATTTTGCAAAAGCGCTTAATTAGTCAAATCACCCGACAGACTTTGTAAAAACCGTCTAGACAGACTGCAAAGAGTTGCTGTACTTACTTGGCCTAAAGACCTCGATTTTTTTGTTTTTAATGTCGTGAAAATGGTACACGGTAGGGGGCAGGGCCGATTGCTTTTCTTTTGCTGAATCGACTATTTATTTCTGTCTCGAATATAAATGCATTATCTCCGCTCAGTTCCTATTCCACATTGGGGAAAATGAAATAAAAAATAAGAGAAAGGAAAAGGGGTCATAGAACGACGAAGA